AGCACCGCCTTTGCCTCTCCGCCACGCTCTCTGCTATGTCCAGAGAGACGGGCGGAGAAACACCCCTCGGAAGCGCGGGCTATGAGCCTCCGCACACAGCCCGCCGCCTCCAGAACCCTATCGGGTTCGCCCGCCCAGTCCAGAAGTCTGCTGCGGGCGACAGTCACTCCAACCCTATCACCCCCGCTAGGGAGACTGTCGCCCGCACCCAGGGTGCACCACGGGGAGGTCTTCTGGCACCGCACCCCATTTCTGTGTATTACCACTAGATAGCGCTAAATGCAAGTAGGTTGAAAAATACAAGTCGTTTTAATTTTGTCGCTAACATTTCCGATTGAAAGTTAATTTTAAAACATTGTTATAAAACTGGCTAAGAATATTCTAAAAGTGTGATCGGTCACAGAGCTCATTTATATTCAATGACATTCGCCAAGTCGCGTGCCACTACCAATATTAAGATAACTTCAAACACTATCATAGAAAGGAAGTAGTTCAACTTTAATTTAAATGACTACTGTTTACTTTTTATTAGTGAACGTGACATAAAGGAAAATAATGACTATGGAAAAGTAATACGGAGTATACGAGAATCATTGCAAGTAATTACGCACACTAACATAATTATATGTTCTCCTACATACATAGCAGGAGCACCTATGTATAACTTCAAGGTAGATATGTTTAATAATCTCCTGTATCAAAGCATACAAAAATATAAATACGCATACTTTTATGACAGCAACCATAACCTATCACATGAAATGTTGTCCTACACAACGGGCAAAATTAATAGCTACGGGATAAGATGCATATATAAACAAATTATGGATAACATACTGATCGACATTAACCTATTCGGTGGAATGAGTGCAGAATTATGTGGTAGTGGGAGAGTTGCAATGCTACCGATTCTCATACAAACAAAGAACCGACTAACTTTTTCGTCACTAATATATCTTTATATTACACCAAAATATTGCTGGAATAATAAACAAATCGGATGCTTTGTCAATATGTCTTGAAGAACTAATTGATAGGAAGATACAAATAGATATATTATGTATTACGGAACACTTCATGGAGGCCGGTTATGAAAACTGTCTTGTTATGCCTAACTATTCTCTAGCTGCAATTTATAGTAGAAGCAAGAGCAAACGAGGAGGAGCCTGCATACTGGTGAAAAACGGTCTTCAGTGGAAGGAGTTACCGGAAATAAAAAAACTTACTGTTTCGGGTCAATGTGAATGCTGTGCTATAGAACTTATTGGTTATGAGTTTGTTATTGTTTGTGTATACAGGGTACCTAAAGTAGAAAACCTAAATATATTCTTTTCAAAGTTGGAAATTATGTTACAATTGTTAAATAAGAAACACTATAAAAATGTTGTAATAGCAGGAGATTTTATATTGACGTTCTCAAACAAAACAATGTAACGGTAGATTTTGAGAGTATATTGCTAAGTTACAATATGAAATTGGCTATAAGAGAACCTACTAGAATAGTAAGCAAAACATGTATCGACAACTTTGCTCATAATTTTACAAAATCGTGTAAGACGGAAGTGTTGGAGTTTGCTTTGTCAGATCATACTGCACAGCTAATAAATATTCCTATTAAAGTACCTGTCATAAAATTATGGAAGAAACGTATTCGTGATTTCACTAGTGAAAATGTCCTGAAATTCAAAGAGTGTATGATGGTTTGTCTTTTTCTGATATGTATGCGAGTGTGATGCAATAAGGCATATAATTGCTTTGTAGATAGCTTTAAGTTATATTATGACCTCTGCTTTCCTTATAAAACTATTGTTATACGTGTTGATGGGAAACCAAAATGGATATCTCGTGGGTTAAAGAAATGTAGTGCAAAGAAAAAACATTTACTTTGGAAGTTTAGATTTAAACCTACCGTCAGCAATAAAACCATATACATGACTTACTCAAAATTGTTAAAAAGATTATTAAATTAACACAACTTGCTCAAAATAATTATAAAATTAAAACCTCATTCAACAAACCCAAAACTATGTGGAACTTCATAAACAGGTCAAAGACTAATATTCCTCGCGACTCAATTAATAGATTAAGGTAAATGACAATATTGTTACCGATCCTGGTGCAATAGCTAATGCTTTCAATAACTTTTTTATTGACAAAATAAAGCCCATATCAAACTGCGGCAAAAATGTGACATCAAAAATTGTAAGTACTAGTAATTCTTATTTTTATACCCCCTAGCATACCAAATGACATTCAACAAATTATTAATGGACTAAAAAACACAAATAGTGTAGGAGTTGATGACATTTGTACTAAATAATAAAATTAGTTAACATAAGTATTTCTGGACATTTGAGTCATATATTAAATTTGTGTATTTGCAATGGTATTTTTCCGCATAGATTGAAAACCACAATAATAAAACCTATATTTAAAAAAGCTGACAAAGAGTCAATGGAATTCTACAGACCCATTGCATTAGTTCCTATCATATCAAAAATCTTTGAAAAGTACATACATAATAAAATTTATACATTTTAGAAAAAAATAATTACTGTGTCAAGAACAGAAGGATTTAGAAAAAGTAAAAGCATTAATTTGGCTATTTATGATTTCTATAGGACAATAATGGGTAACGTCGATAAGAGGACCCCAGTATGCGCTATTTACTGCGATATGACACAGGCATTCGATTAGTGAATCATCGCATACTTTTAAATAAATTACAAGCTTATGGAATCAGGGGAACAATTTTAAAATTGATTGAATCGTATATTCTAATAGATCTCAATTGACCGCAATAAATAGAGTGAACTTAAGAACCAGGTTCGAGGTTGAATATAGGTCAGAACCGCGAGGTAGCAGCTATGGTGTTCCGCAGGGAAGTGTATTAGGCCCCCTTTTATTCATAATATATTAACGATCTACCTAAATTTACACACCATCCATGTCATTGTTTTGCTGACGATAGTACAGTTCCATCCAATGTAGAGCAAGTGAAATGTACCAAAATGACATAAATAAGTGTCTATCCGCAATAATCCACTGGTTGGACAATAACAATTTAAAAATCAATTTGGAAAAAACCCAAGTTATGCACTTCAGTCAAAGACCCCAATACCAAAACATAGTTGTTAGTTACGATGGTCACCCCTTACAGGAAGCAGATTCAGCCAAATTTCTGGGCTTAATTATTGACAAAAAACTAAACTGGAAAAACCATGTAGCTGACCTCTCCAAAAAACTAAGTAGCACTGCTTACGCTCTCTCAAAATAGCCTCGATAGTTAATACTGACGCTGTGCTTACCGCCTATCATGGACTCGCAGCGTCTAGATTGCGATATGGAATAGTTTTTTGGGGAAACTCTACAGATAATGATATTGCTTTTAGGGCACAAAAACGATGCGTACGAGCTATGTTTGGCCTTCAACCAACAGACAGCTGTAAGCCGTACTTTATCAGGCATGGCATCCTTACACTTCCGTCTCTGTATATACTTGAGGTAGCAATGTTTGTGTATAGAAATCCTCACCTTTTCGAACGGCTGCGTGATATTGTGCCGCGAAATCGGCGGAACAATAATAAACTGTGTCTTCACACAGCAGTAACGAGTCTTATGGGAAAGAGTCTTTTATGTATGGCGCCAAAAATATACAATAAAATCCCAAACGACATAAAACATTTCAATATTAGTATATTCAAAAATAAATTAAAATCAATTTTATCCAAGAAATGTTATTATACTGTAAACGACTTCTTGAATGACGGTAATTTGTAGGACATTTATAAGTTTAACTTTTATTTATTTAAGCACTGACATTTTAATGTATTATACTATGACATTTTTATTTTATTTTTTTGTTATATTACCTTTATTGACCTAAGCTAACAATATTTCATACGCCTGTGAGGGCAGATTTTGGTGGTACTATCTTAATACTGTGATCATAATTATTTACCCAAAATGTAATGAATAAATGATTTTGATTTTGAATTTGAATTTGAATTTGAATTTTGAATTCAATGGTGGACGTGTTCCAGGTAAAAATGACGATAATGGTGACATTCTGGCTTAGATTCGATATCTGAAAATGAATAAACACTCGTTTTTATTGTTGCTAACTTGTTTGACAACACCAGCTTGAAGGCATAGAACATGTTTTTTATTGGATAAGCTGGTACACGTGCAGACGGATCACCTCATGGTAAGCAATCGTCGCCGCCCATGGATATCTGGAACAAATTGCGCGGCAGCCAGTTGCCCAGCTATCGCACCGTGCCGTCGAAAGATACAACTTCAATCTAATTTTAAACATGTTAATTTATTTGGAATCTCTCATTTGTTTTGGTATTTTATTATAAAGTTTTCATACGCTTTTTTTAAGGGGGAAAAAATCATAGAATGCCTTCTCTTCTCTCTTCTATAGGGTGAGGCGGGAGGGAGTGTCAGACTCTTACTGACTAAAAACCACCCCGTTCCTACTCCTGCACTTCAAACCGGAGCTCTGGGGGATTACCAGAGCTCCGGTTCGTACCCTATTATTTAACTCGTCGAGTACCGGTTTTAAAGACACAATTAAAGAACAATAGGTCGCGGTCACCGGTGACCGCTTGGTGTTTGACAGTTTAATCCGGACTTCTAACTTTACGTCTGCAAAAATTCAAAGCAACCGGTTTAGTAGTTACGGCGTGAAAGCGGAACAAACAAACAAACTCACTTTCCAATTAATAATATTAGTAAGGATAGCAGATTATATAGTTCCTTGCCCCTTGCAAACACCGCAAGTCTACGCCCCATTGTTAAAAACACAAAGAAACAATAAGTTCACACATTATTTCCAAACAAGTTTGACAACCAATCAAATAATTACTCTAGCGATGTAATATAAGCTGTTGTAGGCAACAAATACTTCAGAACGTGAAAACTGGTTGTACTGGTAATTTGTTTCAGTTTCACGTTTATTTCTTTATTGATAGTTAATTAGTTAGCACGTAATTATGGATTCAATTTGGTTTAGAGTCAACGGTGTGAGACATACCGGTAAGTGATACCTAATAAAGTATTTTTGAACAATGCTCTAGTTATTTGGTATAGCGTTGTTAAAAAAATATTGTTTGGCATTTTTCTAAATGGTGTAAATGTAATTGCTAGCTGATTTCAGAGATATTTTTTGGGATATTATCAGACAGTACCTTATGCTAATTTTGATTAAGTTTAGTAATGATTAAAATATTACAACTATCCAACGTCTTGATTATCGGACCTTATCGAGTAGTGAATAAAAGAAAACGATTACAGTCGTCTGTAGTCGTATCTGGCCAGATTAACAATATCTCTCTAATTGATGGTGACGGAATACAGGCTACGTACCAAGCGCAGAGCAGGTCATCCACTCACAACTTGCACAAACGACCTGATAAAGGTCACAGGAATCTGCCAAAAGCTAGTAGCTACCAGTCAGCCCATCTAGAAGTCATTAAAGACATCTACTGCTCAATATAAGCCACTCAAAAAAGAAATGTTCTTTAATGACAAAGGCATAGTATCGAGTCCGTGGATAATAAAAAACAATGATAACAAATAAAAAAAGAATACAGGTCATTCTGACTCTGACTAACTCTTATAAATCTACAAAAAAGGTTTATTTAAATCCGATCATTCCCCAACATTCCTTTGGTATTACGGGTTTCGTATGCTCGTGTGTTCCTGTCTATGACCTACGACTACGACTATGATAATGGATTGTGGTCGCAAGGAGCCGCTTTTTTTGAGGGGGGAAAATCATCCAATGACTTCTCCCACCTTGGGTGAGGCAAGAGGGAGTGTTAGACTGTTACTGACTAAAAACCACCCCGTTCCTACTCCTGCTCTTCGAGCCAGAGCCCCGGCAACCTGTTAGGCCTTCTGCGGCTCCGTATCGGGCATCAGCCCTACTGGGCCCCATTTGTGGTGGTCTGATGGCTCCTTATGCACGGGTCTGGTTCTGGTCGGGTGTTGAGCTACAGCCCCTGGAGGCAGGTCGCAGGTCGGCTAAAATTAATTGGGGAAAGGGTACATTCAATAGTGGATGTCTTACGGCTGATACCTATGATTATGATGATGATGATGTTGATGAATGTGACTTTGACAGAAACTGCAGTGTCATTTATCAGTGTTTTTTGATCTTTTTTTAAATTTATACCTTTTACTTTTCTGTTACATTAATTTTATCAGTCTGCTTGTTATATTGCAGAATTAAGTAACTTCTTATCAACTGAAGTTGTAAAATATTTTATTGTCCACGAATTTGTTGATTGTCTTATTTTCATTTTAATTAACTCGTCGAGTACCGGTTTTATAGACACAATTAAAGAACAATAGGTCGCGGTCACCGGTGACCGCTTGGTGTTTGACAGATTAAAATATCTTTTACACGACTTCAGTGCACGAATTGTGAAAAAAATATATTATTATCACGTAGAAAGAACACTTAATTACAGAGGTGCAATACTAGTTTTGTGTCACGTGTTTTTTTCGATCTCAAATGACTTTCACCCAGTCCAACAATTTGTAAACAGGCTGAGGTGGACAGGACTATTTAAATGACATACCTATAGACTAATACCAAGTTACTAAGAACAAGGGCAGAAAGATGAAGAATAAAAAACTAATCTATGCTTCTTGGGGCTGGCGTGGTCGTATCGTCTGCTGTAGATTTAGGGGCCTTTGGTCACACCAAAGGCCCCTAAATCTACAGCAGATAATACCTCTAAAAATAAAAAATAATCTATGCTTGGTAATATTTTATTTCTATAGTTGTTAGCTGTGAAGTGGATTCTGACCTAACGCTACTGGATTATCTCCGAGATTATCTGGAACTGCGAGGCACCAAGTACATGTGCCGTGAAGCTGGTTGTGGCTCCTGCATGGTCACCGTCAAACAATCTCAAGGTCAACCGTATGCTGTCAACTCGGTAATAATCAGAACTTGATTTAGTTTTATTATCGGCACATTTCAAACTCCAACAAGGTATTCCAAAATTTGAAGAACCTTACATACTACTTAACTGGTTAATTGAAATCGAAAGATACAATAAAACGACAGACAGTTTCGAAAATGCACTTAGGTGATATCAACAAAACTACACATAAGTGTTAACTTGAATAATACAGCTACAGCGTTTATTCCACTGACTGCCTCGTTAGCCAAGTGGTTGCAAGTGCGACTCTCGGGTCGCGCGAAGTACTATCGGGTTTTTTAAAAAAAATCTGTGATAGCACAGAGTCTGGAATTGTGCTCGGTATATGGCAATAGGTTCACCCCCTGTTACATGGGACTCATAACATAAATAGTGAAAAAGTGGGTGTTACATTGTAAAATGGCATTAAGTGCTGTAATGTGCACCTCTGCCTACCCGTTCGTGGATAAAAAGCGTAATGTTATGTATGTCAGTATTTTTTCCATTCCAGTGCATGTTGACACTGGTGTCATGCCATGGCCTCGACATTACCACCATCGAAGGACTTGGGAACAGGAATATAGGATACCATCCTTTGCAGACCACTCTCGCTAAGTACAATGGGACTCAGTGTGGGTACTGTTCACCAGGATGGATAATGTCCATGCACAGGTATGAAAATTTTACTTCCAATTTATAGACAAAATAGAAGAGTCAAATAAAATTACGATATATGACAATTCTGGCGTAATATTGGTTAAAAATACGTAAATATCAGCTGTGGATTACTAATTTATTATCTTGTTTTCAGTCTGCAAGAAAACAACCCGAACCTTACACAATTGGAAATAGAACAGTCTTTAGGAAGTAACGTTTGCCGTTGTACGGGGTACAGACCAATCCTTGATGCATTCAAAAGCCTGGCTGTCGACAGCAGTGTTGACAAGAACATACAAGACATTGAAGATCTCAAAATCTGCAGAAAAACTGGAAAATACTGTGATGAACAACATTGTGACGATACGGAATGGTGCATGGTAAAAGATGATGATTTCCTCAATTCTAAGATGATACAAATGAAATTAAAAGATGGAAAGTTTTGGTATAAAGCTACAAGTTTAAAGAATATTTTTAATATTCTAGACGATAAAGGCAATGATTCGTACATGTTGCTAGCTGGGAATACTGCTAGAGGTAAGAAAACTATTTCTCTGAGAATGGGTTGAGTAATTTCCATTGGAAAACTCTAAACCCCAGAATGTGTATAAAAGGATTGATAATAATAAAGCTAAGATATATAATTGTCATGTTCTAGGAGCGTATCCGATAGAAGAATATCCTAGAATAATAATTGATATTAATGCAGTGTCTGAACTGAAAGGTTACAAACTGGATCAGAACCTAATCATATACGGTGGAGTGACGCTTACTGAACTACTGGATATATTCAAACGTATAGCAAAACAAGAATATTTTGCATATTTGACAAAATTGTATGAACATTTGAAGAAGGTTGCTCATATACCAGTAAGAAACGTAAGTGACCTTTTTAGTTAAGTCCTAGTTTTAACCGAAATTAATTTAATCTTACAACGTTATACTTTGGATTATACCAGATATATAATAAGCGTCAAGTTAATGTTTATGTTATAACTTTCTTGAGACATACTAAATTAATTATTATGTTTTTGGCTTACTCACGTAATTATTTGACGAAGAACTCGACTAGTTTCAAGTCACATGCTAGAGGCTCATATTTATGAGTAGCTCGACCATCACCCGCGAGGCGCGGAGTAGAACAAAACCAGTCGAGTTTCTTGTCAAATAAGGTGACTACACAATAATTAATTTAGATTTAATAATGACAAAACAAGTGAAAAAATGGCCACTGTCTTCAATTCCTGAAACAAAAAGTAAACATACAAATTATGAAAGTAAACTCATTGCAAACAGTACATACTGCAGCTGACTCAATAGTTGAAACTTCCCTGTTTGTGAGCAAACATTATTGTCGCCATACTCTTGTCATTGTCATGCCAATTAAAGTGCTTTATCTTGTAAACTGTAAGTGTGAGCTGATAACATTACATAAAACTACATTCCCATGTCATATTGTGATAATGAATGTTTTCTATCAATATACTGGCACACATGCTCTATAATAGCATGCTAAAAAGCAATACATATTCTATAATAGCATGCTAAAAAGCAACACATATTCTAAGATAGCATGCTAAAAAGCGTTCTATTGAGCATGCTTAAACATTGAACGCCAGTCGGTTAGAAAGCATGCCCGAAATGAGCATGCTAACTCAGTGCTAAATAAGTGGCTAGTATTTAATTGAAGCATGCCTTTGTGTTTGGTAATATACTATTAGGTTTTCTGATGAATGAATGATCTTAATGATTTAAATTGAATCTAGCATTATCTGACTTACCTATAAAAGTTTATTTTTTAATGGGACTAGCCTGCCACAACCTCTAAAACCGCTGCATCTTCTGTAAGCCAGGATCTACAGTAGATATAACCATGAAAATACCGGAACCGGCAGACGTCTCGTAGTTCATTTACTAATTATATTTTTACGTTTGTTTAGATCGGGACAATAGCTGGTAATCTGATGATTAAAAATAAACACAATTTCTTTGCATCTGACATTTTTCTACTGCTGCAGACTGTTGGAGCACAGCTCACTTTAGGTTTGTACTACAACAAATATTTTATGTCTTGGGTTTTTTGTTACCCTACCGATGCCAGCGGTAAGACAAGAAAACCAAACATTGCCTTCGCACAACCGGCTGTGGCTGGTGCAGCAGCTGCCTAGACAAATGGCTTACATGGAACCCTCGAAATCATGTTTACCTATACTTATATTTACTGCAGCAAGAAGCATCAAATTGATTACTCATAAAAGTATTGCAAATTACGAAAAATCTGTAGATTTCATCAATTTCAGTGAGCCGCCGTTCCAGAACTAAAACTGTGACGATGGAGGAGTTCCTAAAAACTGATATGAAAGGTTTGGTTATCCTGAATGCGCTGCTATCTCCTTTGAGCTGTGAATATAAAGTAGCTACGTTTAAGGTAAGTATAAAGTAATAAATCAAAATGACCACTTTTCATTGACCTCTAGATAATAAGTATATCTGGAAAGTCAGAGCTCTCACTCAACTAGTCACAATTACGCTCATCCTCATCCACTAGATTAACATTTACTTGTATCTTTCATTCTACAGGTTATGCCACGAAGTACAAACTACCACGCGATAGTAAATGCAGGATTTGTATACCAACTAAATAATCAAAATAAAGTTATATCCTCAAGAATTGCCTTCGGTGGTCTATCACCAACATTCACAAGAGCTTATAAAACAGAAAGATTTTTGACTGGAAAACAACTATTTACAAACGATACTTTACAATCTGCTTTGAAAGTTTTGAGTGATGAAATTGTAGTTGTGGACAATCCACCAAAACCTAGCGTTGAATTCAGACGAAAATTGGCATTAGGATTGTTTTACAAGGTAAGCTAGAAATCTGATCGGTCATAATAAATAACTTCACTTAAGGTCTTCTTCATTGAAGAGTACGTTGTGAAAATTGGTTGTTTTGCTCAAACTGTTATGAATTACTTTACTTGGCTTCATTTTATTTTTTTGTAAAAAAAACACGTTGCACACTAGGATTTTCTTCTGCATCAGTAGCTTCGCTTGCGTTGCCGTGCGATGTAAAGTAGCCTATGTATTATTCTAGACCATAATTGACCCCTGTACTAAATTTCATCCCGATGCCTTCAGCCGGTTTGGCGTGATGGGATAACAAATACACATAATTATAAACTTTTACATTTATAATGTAAGGAAGATTTCATTAATAAAATATTTTCAGGGTCTTCTATCGTTATGTCCAGATAACTTACTAAGCGCTCGTTACAAGTCAGGAGCAACAAAAATTCACGACACACGTCCAGTATCCAAAGGTGTTCAGTATTTCGAAACAGATCCCTCAACATACCCTTTGACTGAACCTGTTCAGAAAGTTGAAGCTTTGGTAAGTGGATATAATTAAAATAGTTTTGTTTATAATATGAATAGTGTGGTTAAATATCACTTAAACTAATTCACAAAAACCAGCAGAGTTAAACCTCTTTAAACTTTTGAGATTTTTTAACTATATTGGAATATGAAGCCAAAACACACTCTTATTAAGGAGCAAACTTGTGAACATCTTTCAATTTTAAAAATCATGGCTGAAATAATAAATATTTTGAAAATGATTTAGATACAATGTGCAGGAGAAGCACATTATGCTGATGATATGCCTACACTACCTTATGAAGTACACGCTGCTTTCGTGGTCACTACTATAGGAGTTGGTGAAATTGTATCCATAGACGCATCAAAGGCTTTAGTATGTATCATTTTTCCAATTTAATTAATTAAAAATGACCAGTTTTGAAACTCCACTTCTTAATAACTTTTTTATCGTAGAGCCAACCAGGTGTTCTTGCCTTTTACACGGCAAAAGATATACCTGGAAATAATTCTTTTACACCAACCAATGGCAGCCTGTTTCCAGTAGACGAGGAAATATTTTGCGAAAAAAAGTCAAATATTTTAATCAACCTCTTGGAGTTATCGTGGCTGAAACACGAGTCCTTGCAGAAAAAGCTGCAAAAATGGTTAAAGTGCAATATAAAAATGTTCGCACACCAGTCCTAGATGTCAAAGAAGCTATCAAAGATCCAAGTAGAGTTTTGTTATATGGTACCGATGATGCTACTGATGTAGGTAAAGATGTACAGAAAGTTATCAAAGGTGGAGTTACAATGTATGCTCAATACCACTTCTCTATAGAAAACATTCCTTTTGTCATTCGACCGACGGAGGAAGGAATAAAAGTCTACACAAGTTCACACAGTGTGGATTCAATGCACGTAGGAATGTCAAAAGCTTTGAACATTGATCAAAGTAGGTAAGTTGCTACTGATAATTGTTACACATTTTTAAATATAAAGATTGAAAATAAAATTGCCACCCAAACAGATAATATTATTTTTCTATCAGACGAGTCGTTTTTAATTATGTTCCATATTGTTGACAGTATCGATATCTACGTCAGACGCGTTGGAGGTTCCTACGGCATCAAGCTCACTCGTAACATCCAAGCAGCTGTCGCCTGCGGTCTAGTGGTGTTGAAGTTGAACCGAACGTGCAGGTTCATTCAATCTCTGACCAGTACCACTAGATCACTGGGGAAAAAACTACCTAATACTACCAATTATGAGGTTAAATATTATTTTGATATTGCTGATCATTAGTTACACATAAATTAATTTCAATATTAGCAATCGGTTTTTCTCCACTTCAATACATGCGACCTTCTTAAAGCTTGTCCCTGAGCTTGATCTTAAGGTTTTCACGTCCAAACAGCTACGACAGTTTTCACCGATCACCCCTAACCCGCTTCTTAACTAAAATTTACGTAGCGTTTACTTATATTATCCCCGTACTTGTAATGTAAGGTGTCACCTTTAGGTTGGTGGGAACCAAAAATGTAAACTGTCACAACTTCCTTGATATTTAATAGAATTTGATAAAAACGAGCTTCAGTTTGCGTAAAGTAAGTAAAGCCACATTTAATTCAGTTACATTCATTTTACAGATCGGTGTCAACAATAATGGTGTTATTCAATACAATAATTATGACTTGTACATGGACAATGGTCACACTGTTAACTTCAAATTCAACTTTCTTGTTATAAACTCTTATAACAACTGCTACGATAAATCCAGATGGAAATTACGCTGTTACAACGCTACTACTGATGTCCCTAAAAATGATTGGTTAAGGGCTATTGGTAAGACCCTAACACTAGAAAATTATTTATTTTGTTTTCCAAGATCGTAGAAAATAAAAAAAATATACCCAAAATAGTTGTTTTTTGGTAAGCATACTAGAATATTTAAATTTAATTACTACTTTAAACAGGTTTGTGCCACGGTCACTAACTTACTCTTTTTATTTTTCTTTTTAAGTCAATGACTGCATAAATGTTTCACATAAATTATGTTCTTTTTACTTGGTATCACTAATACCAAAATTATTTTTATGTCCTTAGGAGTCCTAGATGGTATTGCTCAAGCTGAGCTAATCATGGAAAGAATTTCCTATGAACTAGCGTTAGATCCAATTCAAGTCCGTTTAAACAACTTGGACAGACAGACATCCGGTGCTATAGAAGACATGTATGATACTCTTAAAAGTCAAGCGAAGTATGATGACCGAAGAATAGCAGTAGATAATTTTAATAAACAAAATAGATGGAAGAAACGTGGGCTAAGATTTTCATTCATTAGATGGCCATTGGCAATTTTGGGATACAATAACATACTAGTATCGGTTTACCATGGTGATGGAAGTGTAGCAATTGCTCATGGAGGAGTAGAAATGGGACAAGGTATAAACACTAAAGTGATACAAATCTGCGCTTATTATTTCAAAATCCCATTGAGTAAAATCAAAGTCAAAGGACATGATACAATGTCCGCTCCAAACAGTGTAGAAACTGCTGGAAGTATAGGATCGCAGAACATCAGTTTGGGTGTTAGTAGATGTTGTGAAACGCTTTTGGAAAGGCTCGAACCGATAAGGAATAGTATGGAAGGTGCAACGTGGGAACAGATAGTTAAAGCAGCTCATACTGCTGGAATAGACTTGCAAGCTCAAAGTTTTGTTAATAGCAGTGATGCTACTAAATATTTCTACAATGTTTTTGGAGTGGCACTGGCTGAAGTTGAGATTGACGTGTTGACTGGAGAATCGGAGTTATTGAGGGTGGATATAATGGAGGATGTTGGTAAAAGTATTAGTCCAGGAATTGATGTGGGACAGGTAAGACATCGTACATTTCTCAACCATTCGATTGTTAACAAAAATAATGTTAATTCCATTGATGAAAACATAACGCAAACCAAGAATTTCGGACGCCATGCGACACTTGAGCATTTTTATGTACCTCTATTATTATATTGTATTTCATACTTTATAGAATGTTTTTAATAGGCATAAAAATAATGAACCACTTGCTTTCTAATTGTAGGTGGAAGGTGGTTTTATGATGGGCGTAGGCTACTGGACTTCGGAAAAATTAGTTTATGACAAAAATACCGGAGAATTGTTAACTAATCGAACTTGGAACTATGCTGTGCCCATGAACACTGATATACCACAAGACTTCAGAATCTATTTTAAAAAGAATTCTTACAGATATGCAGCCATTCATGGTGCTAAAGGTAAATTATACGAATGTTATCTGATATTACGTATTTCAGTTCAAGTTGTGGCGTTAACGGATACAATTGCATTACTACGTCACACCTAAGAATTTACGGTCGCCACTGCGCCAACTGCGTAGAGAATACCCATTCATTCAATTCGCAATGTATTAATTTGATCTCTTTTGTAAATAAGGCTATTTCTTGCTCCCAGCTGTCGGCGAGCCTCCGATGTGTATGTCAGTAGTGGTTGCATTAGCTCTCAGGGAAGCAATATCTGAAGCTCGGAAGGAGTCAGGAATACCCGCTACCCAGTGGTTTGATATTGGTAAGTGATTAAAAATTGTCTAGAAATTAACACAAAGAGAATGCTATACTTATTTATTGGCAACTTGAAAGTATTTTATATGTAAATAATATGAAATGTCTAAGATTATTTGGACACTACTGACAAATGGTGAACGAAAACATCGTGATGGGAACCTGGCCTTATAATTTTTAATTATAAGTTTGAAATCGCTAATTGGCAATGAGCAACCATGGTGATTAATGCTCAAACCTACTCCGTGTGCGAAGAGGCTTTGTTCAGCAGTGGGCACTTATAGGCTGTTGAATTTAATTTTATAGTCTATTTTTAAGTGACATAATTACTAATATGTATCTTGGTAACTTTCAGATGGGCCATCAACAGTAGAAGTCATAGGGTTGTCAACTGAAACCAATGTTTCCGAATATAAATTCAATTAGGTTAACGTGATGGTAGTGTGTTATTAAGTAGATCTGATTTTGATTTCATTGTTATTCAATATTACGTAGAAACATTGTTAATCCACCCGACGACAAAGTATATCTTTTCGAGAATAGGGTAGTTTCCAGGGTAAGAAAATTAAAAATCTAATTAGTCCGTCAGTTAGATAATGAAAAAATATTAGACACGTATTTTTTTATTTCCTCTTGTAAACTTACAATACTTAGATAAAATGGAGTTAAGTTTAGGAGTGGGAGGTAGTTACGTCACAACACGACATTTCAAATCAATATATCATCAAAAGCATTTAATTTTGTGAGAAAAGAAGAAATACGTGTCTAATGTTTTAAAATAACCGTCTACCAGACGGACAAAACTAAAATAAAATTTAGGAAACTACCCTATTACAATTTACATGGCGGGATATTTCGACAATGTAGGTACTACTCACCATTATTGTAAAGAAGGTACTACTTATGTGTTCGTATGCGCTTTTGAAGTTTGGTTTGCAATGGTTCACCCGTTATTTTTTGTACAGCTTATGTATTACCGAGATCATAACCATTTTACATCGAGAAGAAAACGAAATTTTCACTGTGTATGTATTTATTATAAACTCATTCATTAAATAAACAATAATTTTGTGTGTTTTGTTAGTAGTTTTGATTACATCGTTAGTTCCCCTAAACAGCACCTGGTTCGAATAATAATATCTAATGAAATATTCTGTAGCACATCGGATCCATTGCAACTTGTTTTTTTATACAAGGTGCCTACGACAGGATCGCTTAGTGGTGTACGGTCATCGCAGCCTTTAAGTCTAACATCTATATGTATAAAAATGAAACCCGTTTCCCGTTGTCACGCCATAACTTGAGAATGGTTGGACCGATTTGGCTGATTTTCTTTTTGTTGTGTTTGTTATTGTCAGGAGAAGGTTCTTATGGTAGAAAAAATCCTAAAAATCTTATGGGAACGGGAGTAAACGGGATTGCGCGTACGAAGTCGCGGGCAGAAGCTAGTTTAATATAAAGGCAGTTAGAAGTATTTATGAGATTTGTTTATTATTATCTATGTATATTTATTTAATGCAAAAAAGACTATGGAGCCACGTAGATATAACTTTAATATATAAACAAAAACCTTTTAATTTCAAATGCAAATGCTATTTATAAAATATGTTCTGATTAAAAATGGCATCTATGAAATTAATAGAACATCACGCCTTTAATGCCCGTAGGGGCAGAGGTGCAAGTGCGTGGCGGGCCACCGTAAGCGCGGGCCTGCGGACGGCGAGCATGGGTGGCTCCCCGTCCGACCAGAAACAGACCCGAGCGTACGGCGCGTCGAGCTCCGCGCGCGCCTCAAAGAGCCATCAGACCACCACAGATGAGGCCCAATAGGGCCGA